TCTGGGTGGTTATCAAGCAAAATGAATGAATATGAACAGAAACACAAACAGGACACAGGACTGAAAAATGCTCTGTATGCTCTATCCATCTAAAACTGCTAAACTCTTCAAAAATTTATTTGTTCCTCAACTTCTGGTTCCTCTGCTACCCTGTAGTTGCTAACAGCAGCTCCTGCAGTGGTACAGTACTTGCATCCTTCTCCCTCTTTTCTTCTTTTCCTTTTTTTTTTTTTTAAACATTATTACATGCTCAAATCCAACCAGCTCAAATACTTTTTAATACATTGAAAATGTAAAATAAAGAATATATGAAGTACATACAGTATATATATACATATTTCAAATACTTAAAATTCTTATGTAAAATATGATTTTTCTATATTATTTGTGTAAAAATACATTTTTAAATGGTGTCAATTTGATTTTTCTGTACATACCCTCTATTCCAATTTAAGTCCCTTTTAAAAAGGCAAAAGACAGACAAAGGTTTAGTATCTTCTAAACTGTGTTTACAGGCCTGTTGTCAAAACAAGAAAAAAAGCATGTGGTAAACAGTATTGGATTTCTTCTTTTTAAGAATTCCCATTTTTATTGCATTAATGGAAAAAACTGAATCTTCTCAGTTCTCTTGCCAGTAAAACTATTCTTGGCCTTGCTGAGAAACTGCATACTCCCAATACCCTGTTTATCTAGTTCATAAATCATCCTTTGTCAATTTTTTTTTTACAGATACTAAAATATATATTACTTAAAATATATTACTGTAAGCTCTTAAAATTGATCTTCAGTTATATCAAATGTATAGCATTAAAAAAAACAACCTAGGTAACAAAGAAAATTCTGGATATCATCATCCTAACAAACACTCAAGTTGTTCTCCCTGTGAGACGCGGGTGGCAAACAGACCCGCTGTCCGCAGGGACCTCCTCGCCCACCAGGTTAACTCTGCACACGGCAGGTTAGCTGAGGGTGCTCCTCAACACCGCAGGGTGCCAGAAGCAACAACGTCCCGGGAATGGTCTTCTCCCCACCACAGCAATTAATCCACGCTAATCGCCAGAGGTAATTCAGTGTGCACATGCCATCTTTACCCTCCTACCGCCACTGCAGCCACCCACGTTTCCAGATGTGGGATTTTGGAAGTTCAAACCAGTCAGTCCTGGCTGGGGAGAGCTGAGCACCCTCCTCCGCTGACCCCTGAAACCAGCAGAGCCGCTGAGGGTAAGCCCAGTGCTGACGTCCACTGGTGGCTTTCAAACAGCTCAGCCTGAGCAGAACTCCCAAGCGAAATGAAAGTTTCCCCAGGGCTTCAAGCACCCTGGGTGAGACACTTCTAATGAAGAATGCCACTGGCCTTTCTGTGGAAAATAAAGCCAGCCCATTTCTTTTTTCCCAAGCCGCAGCGCTTTCAGATGATGCAAAGGCAGTCTGCCACCAGAGCAGCGGTGGGTTCTGCCTCCAGCCCTACCACGGGCCACACGCTTCTACCGCTTCTCATGCCGCTGCCACGGTTGTGTGGCTGCGCAGTGCTGAAGACTGACCACCTCCAGTGAAGGCGGGAGGACGCCCGGGCAGGGCTGGTGCTTCTCGCCCTTCTGGTGGTCCCCCTGCTTTCGAGGGGTTCAAATGCACTGTCAGACTGAGCCTCCCTGGAGGGGAGAAGCCCAAGTCCTGCTCCAATCTACCATTGCATGCAGGCCAGGTAGGAACCAGCTCCAGGATGGTCTTTGCTGCCTCTGTAGCAGCATGAACGACACCCATCAGAAGTAACGACCTGAGGATACCTCCTGGCTGTTAATGACATGACCAGGAACTTGCTGCCCCACCAGCTAGATACTACTGCCATAAAAAAGATACAACTCCGCGGACCAGTGTAACTGTTAAGCATCTTGGTCTTTCCTTTTGATTTAAGAAGGGACATTAAAATTTCACACAACATTCCTTCCCTGTGCTACCCATCTATCTCAAAACCCAAACTCATTTATAGCGCTGCATTTGCTCCTCCATTGCAACAACTTGTACCTGGGGTTTTTTTGCACTGGAAAGTTAAATTCCATTGATCAGTCTGTATTTCTAGTTCTCATGCTGCAGGACCTGGATGTGGCCTGAAAGGGAAAATTTAAATCTGAATATCTTTTCTTACTCAAGTTGCTTTTACTACCACAAATATAGTTTGACATTAGGCTTTGAAAACATTTTATCTCAGATTTTTTTTTTATGACAGCATTTACTATAGTTCTATTAATTTAATACCTGGGGAACCAAAGTCTAATGCTTTAAACTATGTCACAACACACCTTATATTTGTAATCCAGTGTGAAGGCAGGTTTATTATCTTGCTGGAAGGAAGAGCGGGAAGGTCAGATGATGGGAAGAATGGAGTCTGCCGGGAAGAGCCTCAGCAGTAAGGCAGCAGCAGCAGGCTGATCCCACGTAGGGAACACTCCTATACAGGCTGCAGGATTTCCCCCTTCTAAAATACTTTATTCAATAACCAGCACTGTAAAACATGCAAAACTTTCAAGGTTTTATGTCAACCTGTACTTATAGTGATTATTACACCAAGTCCCATTATTTCTAATGATTTCCTAACTACTTAATGCCCTCTTGCAAACCTGTGGAGATTCTTCCATCAAGTTGCACCTAGTAGCTCATAGCATATGTTAAAATCAAAGACATGCAGTTAAAAGAATTTATTTTCTTAAATAGAATAAAAGTAGCCCAAGAAAAGTGCTGATCCGTTAAAATATAACTAAGGCACTAAACAGAGTTGTAAACTTCCAAGTCATCACGCTAGATGCCTACGCTGCCCAATACATGCCCGGAGCCACGGAGATCTTTGTGGTCACCGTACATCCCAACCCGGGACAGCAACGGCCAGGCCAGCGCCTTTCCTGCAGGACTATGCATGAAACGGCAGCTTCTTGCACTTCCAGAGTAGACTCACAAGAGGTGTCTGTGGCACAGAAAACCGAACCCACACACTACAGAGAATGCTTGTACTATTCAAAGGGAGGAACAAGCTGGAACCACAGCCAGGGTCAGTGACTGGTTTGGAAAATGCTCAGAGGAGCAATGGAACAGCCTTTCCAAGCGGCAGCTGCAGCAGGTTGAAAAGCCCATGAGGGCTAAGAGCAAGCTGACAGATCACAGCCTGCTGCTCCCTCATCATCTTCTCCTTCCCCCTCTTAAGCAGCCTTGTCAGCCTAGAACAATTACACTGATAAAAGTCAAGGTGTGAACAGAATTGATCCAATTATGCCAGCAAAACCTCTTTACTCTTAGTTGAGACAAGAATGACTTTTTCCAGTTTAGTTTGTAACTAGCCACAATCTTTAAATTGGATTATACTGGGGAATCTGTCTTAGACAGGAATGAATGTGTCGCTCTGAGGATTACACTGCTGTAACTTCTTTCATGTCTAGACAAGGCTTGAGTTAATAAGGAACAGACAGACCCTGCTCTCAGTACTTGACTCCCCAGGGCACCCAGCCTGAAACCATTCTACACTGCACCCCAAGATTTTTAAAACTGGCAGAAATTCCTCTTACAGCACAAGAGATGGAAGCAGGCAGTGATGGGCTGCTGTCCGAATCAGTGCTGATGTACAAGTCACCCCAGGGAACAAGATTATCCCCGTTACAGCATCTGGGGCTGGAACGGGAGAAGCCAACCCATGTTTGCTGGTCTGCATGTGCATGCATGCAGGTGGCGGTGGGGAACACGTACAGTCCAGGGGCTATTCCTTGGGCTACGACCACCACCACCGTGTGTGCAGCGTGACAAAAAAACCTGGGAGTAATTTTTGTGTAGGGTTTTGGGGTTTTTTGAGGTTTTAGATTAAGAAAATGGCAACTTTATTTCTAATACTTAAATCCTCTTTGCCACTGGATGTCTAAGCAGAGATGCGTAGAAATCGGGGGTCACTGCTCCCCAGTAAATTTGAGTAAAACAGACCAAGATACGCTGCAGCTCTTGCTAACTCACACCCATTAATCCTGCTCCGGAGGACACCATGCTCTGCTGGACAGGGAAGGAAACGTTTCTGTTACGACATGATTAAGTCTGCAACTCTCTTTTCTTTAACATTACCAAATAAATCACCACCCACTCCTTGGAAAAACACACTGCTTCACAGGCAATTATTTCTGATCTTTACCAACAGCATGCCAGGTTCCCAGGTGAGGGAGAAGGGAAAGGGGAAAGCAGTAGTATAGTCAAATGGAAAGAAAAAAGGCTGAGGACCCCAGCTCACAAAACAGCTGTCCCACCTATTTTGTTAATATTGCTTCATCTTAAAAAGGCCTTTGGATTAAAAGTGAATTCAGTGCTTTTCCATCAAAAAGATACATAGATCTGTTACCTGACCAAGATGCAGTATGGCCCCCCACCCGCCCCGAACAGCAACAACATGGGACTGGATATAATTAGTGAACCTGATGTTCTTTGTTTTGGAAGAGAAACAACATACAGACCCTGGATGTCATGCAGACATGTTGCGATACATCAAAACACAGATTGGCATGTGCTTCATTAGCCAGCCTGTCGTCAATTCCTCTTGTTGAGAACAGAGTACCATTTTATAACTGCTTTAATTTAGATTAATCAGAGGGAGTGAATTTGTGAACACTGAAAGTGAGGATGAGCATCACTAGCTGTGTCCCACCATCAGGTATGAGGGGTGCGGCGCAGCCCCCTTCCCTCCGCACCCCCGCCCGTCTTTCCCAGCCCCAACGCAACCCCGGACCTCAACTGAGCAAAATCCAAGCTAAGTCAAGCCTGATTTGGTATTTTAAAACACAAAGAGACACCCACAGCAGGCTAACGGTGAGGCCCAACAAGACACTTGTTTTTCTTTCCCTACACTTAGCTAAATATAAAATCTTCTATAGAAATTAGAGACGTCTGACTATTGTGGAGGTTTGAATGAGCACAGTAAGCTTCCTAGAAAACAGCAGGACCGAGGGTGACACTTAGCGCACTTCACTTGCATCATGGTTCATGACTGTGGGATGGCACTTTCCAGCTCACTCGAAATGCCTAAGAAAGCAGATTTCTGCTGAGTCCTGACAGTCCAGAAATGAAATGCAGTTCAGCACATATTTGTGATCTCTGCTTTAAATGGTTCTTGGGATTACTGATAATCATGGTTACTGAGTTGTTTTAGTGATTTAAATTCTTGAATCCTATGGTTAGTACAGTTGCCCTTTTCAGTATTTACCAGTAGCAAATCAAGACACTACCTTCCTTAAAACAAGGTTACTGCAACTGACTCCTTGAAGGGGAGAGGATATGCAAATCAAAACCACCAGCCAATATTGCACAACCCAGTATGCCTTCTGGAAACAGCCTGGTCACAAGTGAAAGGCAATTACTTGAAAGGCTGGTACAATGGTAATGCCTTCCAATTCCGAAAAATTTGAACTAAAATTCAGAGCAACAAAGTGAGCCCACTCAGGGGTTCCTACTTCAGTGCTCTGTGATCAGTCAGTACAAACATTTTGTTTCTTGATTATCCAGTTCTTCTCTTTGCCAAGAGAAGACCAACAACAGGCTAAGGTTTTGCCAGGGGTTTGTTCCCCCATCTAGAGCAGAGCTCAGCAAACATGCTGGATAGCAGGCTGGGGTTAATGAAACTGCAGTACAAGTCAAACACTATCTCCTAAAAGATTGAAAAAATACTTTTAAACAAAATAATGTGACATATTTACATAATTCCTTAAGTGCAAACTCTTGTCACAATTCACGTAGTTGAGCTCAATTTAGACTCACTGTACAAGAAGGTGCTCTTTCTTTAATGAAAGAAGAACTCTACTCTGTATTCCTGATTCAGTAACGCGTCTCTTGTGCAAGGCAGTAAGTTTCCTGTTTCTTCCCAATGTACTTCCGAAAGCAAAACCAACAACAAGCCATCCTCTTCCCCACTTCCCATCCCGGTTACCGCACAACGAGGCAGGAGACACAGAGCTTAGAGGGGCCAATGCAATCATCATGGCAGAAGGCACCGCAGCCCTTGCACATGATCATGGCTTTCAACCTGCAGTAACATTTGGAAGGGGAATCCTCCATGCTGTTGTCTTCAGCGAAGGCTTGAACGGGGATGGTCTGAGTGTGGTTGCCAGAGTTCATAGCTTGGCTGGTGGGAATGGTGGTTACAGTCACAGAAAAGGACATGACGTTCCCCATGCTACTGGACAACTGATTGCATTCAGACAGCCCAGTCATAAGAGACCCTTGGTTCACGTCTGGGGAGGTGGAGACGTTTATTGTGCCACTGTAACTGGGCCCAATGAGCTGTGCTGCAGCATTTCCAGATAGCTTTGCAGGGTGTGAAGGAGAAAGCAGTGGAGGCTGCTGCTGCGCAGAGTCCGAGGACGGTACAGAAGTACTGAAAAGCTCCGGATTGCTGTGCATTTTCCCCCTCATTGCATGTGCCATTTGCTCTTGAGCAGCTTGAATAAAATCTCGTGCTAGCGTAGTTCCATCAAATGCCTGAACGTTCTCCTTGTTGACTGCTGCTTGCTGAGACGTGGCTGCTTCTGTCTTTATACCCTTTTTAGGAAGGGTGCTGTAATCCGAAGAATTTATGCTATGTGATACCTGCTCTTTTTCACACTGACCAGAAGCCTGGGCAGCCTGGGGCTCCTCTTTTACACTGATATGCTCATGTTCATCACCAGTACTCTCATCATCTGCATCTCCTTCATCGCTGCTGCTGCCATGGCCACCTATCTCCTCACATTCCCCAACTTCTGTTTTTGGAGCATCAGCAGGACTGTTCAGACACAAGCGGTTTTCAGGGTTCAAGGAGAAGCCTCTCCTCAAACTCTCTGAACCACGACCATAGGTGGAAATGTTGAGCAGATAATGACCAGACATAGCAGGCTTGGATGTCCTTCTGCCCATGAAACCCAGCATAAATCTCTGGCTGGTGGAGCTGTTTTCTAACTGGAAACCTGAGTGAGCGAGGTTCAGTTGTGAAGGCTGAAGGACTGGTAACAAATTCTGCCTCTGGACCCTCTTGATAAGAGTCTGAAGGATCTGCTCTTGGGTTGTTTTGCTGAGTGCCTCGTGGCACTGGTGCTGGTCACGACTGGAGTCCTTTCCCAAGGGGAGTGGAAAGGTCCTTGGAATGTGAGGCAGAGGCCTGTTCTGGCAAAAGAGCTTCCCAAGCTGTTGTGTGGGTAAACTTGACTGTCTTTCACCGCCCTCAGCTCTAGCACCGTTCCCTGCTACACTTGTAGCACTGGATGCTGCTGCTGCCCCTTTTTCTTCATGAGAAGCTACTGGGACAGTTTTCATCTCTGCTTTGGTGAGAGGCTTCGGCAGGATTTGCTCCAGAGGGACGTTCTTGCCTTGAAGAAGTTGGGTGACCAAAGGGTTGTTAGCAGGAATACTGGAGCTTGGTTTTGGGAGGGCCCCACTTGAGCCTGAACTTGCATGATTTTTAAGGCTAGGCGCTGCTGACGAAGTGCTAGAGGGTGGGACAGATGTAGCAGATGTGACCACACCTCCAGCCTGGGCTTCTGAGCTCACGGATGTTAGTGAAGATGTCAGAGGGGAAGGAGATTTGCTTGTAGAAACATCTAAGCTGGTCCCTCCTAAGGCTGTAGGTGCTACCTTAGTTACATTTGTGCTGGGATCTGCTGTGGACACCATGACGCAGACTGCTCCATCCCTGACAGCTGGTGCCCCACAGGCCTGGCTTGGACCTGCTGGAGCCGAAGGTGCTTTCTCTTGTTTGTCACTGCTACCAGCATACGGGGAGCCTGAAACCTGATTTACAGTCATACTGGGGGGGCTCTGCTTTATTCTGTTGGTTTTCTCTAATGCCGATACCGCTGATGAGGAGGAGCTGGTGCCTGTATTGCTGGCTGGAGTTCTGGACTGCAGTGTGGAAGTTTGCTGTAGTTGTGCTCTAGAAGGATTGTGAGGTGGTGCCTGGTCCGTGGCCTGGGTCTCCATTTGGGTATGGGTCCCTGGACAATGGGGAAGAAACCCTCTCGAACTTCCCCCGCTTCCAGTTCCTGCCAGTTCCAGTGCACTTCCTCTAATTCCAGTTTTGTTGGTTCCGCTCGTTGCTGCGTTACTCTTCTCTCCTCCACCGCCCGGTGGGCCCCCACCACCGCCCGGTCCAGGCCCTGGGACAGCCCCCCCCGTCGAGGCAGCGGCAGCAGCGGCGGCGGCGGCGGCAGCGGCTGCTGCCCTCTGAGCCTTGGCTTGCTGGGCTTTTGCCTTGATGTCTGCCAGAGTTCTGGCCCCTGTTCTTCCCGGACTGGTGAGTGAGATTGGGAAACGTGCCCTGGGAGAGACCTGGCCCGCAGGAAATGGCATTGGGGAGATTCTGGAAACAGGAATCTGAAACAGAGGAGGAGAAAAGCGCAACTGAGATACGGGGAACATTTAACCCACATGTTTAAGAACTTAAGTGTTTACAGTTTAGAGAACTAGTTGTACTTTTGGAGAAATCCCTTACCTCCCTCACTTGAGATAAAAGACATGTATGATCTTTTGATGTCTGGCACACTTATTTTAAGTCTATTACAATCTTAGCGGCTCAGACTAGAAGTTCATCCCTTGCAGTCACATTGTACACCACTATGCAAAAGTTGATCAAGCTCCCTCAGCAAAAACTGTAAGATTGTTCCAGAACTCAACACCTATCGTCCCTTATTCCAAGTTTCATACTTTATTCAGATGTAGTTTATATCCTTTTAAAGGTTTGCGTCAACGTTCTGCTTGATTTTGTATTGCTGTTCTACTCCTGCGTATTTACACGTGTCTCCTCCGTGTCTTTATAACAAAGCAATAATAATCTCTCTACTGTGTATCTGTCGATAAAATGCCAGTATTTTAGTCCTTTCTTCTAAAATAGGTTCTCCACTCCCCTCATCATTCCAGTTTACTTTCTGTAAGTTTGTTCTTTCTAGAACATAAGTGATGAGAACAGTGCACTAATGTTAGTTCTCTTCTGTCTCACAAAGATTTAAGCGAGTATATTTTAAGGTTACATTTGTTTTCATGTATCTGCAATACCTCGCTGACTCCCACTCATCTTCTGATTAACCAGTTCACCACTTCTTTCTTTTTTGACAAATGACATGTCTTCTACCTTACAGGGGAAAATATTTGCAATCGCCCTTCAATTCACTCTATTATTAAATTAAATCCCATGTTTATTACACTGGAAGGTCAACCATTCTTCCTGTATGATATTTCAAATCTGTTCTATTGACAGGCTTCCCCCAATTTTGTGCCACTAACAAATTTTATTAATGCTTTCCTACCTTTGTGCTATGCTTATTAACACAGTGAGAAGAATGAACCGTTTTTAAAATTTTGTGTTTGCATACTTCCTAGTATAAAAATCTTAATAGGAGAGTAGAGTTCTTAGGACATACAGAAATACACCAGTTAAGCAGTTTTCCATTGACAACTTCTGCCTAAGGCTCCAAATCAGGGAGCTGAACTCTAACCAGAGCACATTCTGGTAGAAAAAGCACAGGCCCTATTCTGCAGAAACCAAACTTTTCTATTCATACAGTCACACAAGACTGTAAAAACTTTTTCTGTGCTGGCTCATCCATTTATTATCTACCATTGAGCATAACATCACTGAAGAAGGAATTAGTGTTATCTGTACACATGCAATCTTGTAATCGTTTTCTGAAAAGAGTATCAATTGTCCAAATCGAGTGTTTATTACTTACCAACGTGGTATTTCCTGGCAGTTTAGGAGTAGGTGTGTGGTCCTATGACCTGGATCTCAAGTGTAAGAGAACGGCATTGCCCAGGCCAAGGTCTGGAACATTTCTTTCATGCTTCCTTTCCACCTGCCCTATCCTAGTCATGATGGATTGCCTGTTTCCTTTCCTATGTAGGTTCTCGCTAAGACTCAGCAGCTAAAGGGCTTTTGGACTCGAGATGTTCCCTAAAATAGTCTTTCCCTGCTACCTGGTCTGGCACTATACTGCATTCAGCTGGTATAAATGATAACTAGAAATGATAATTGCTAGATGGTCTTTTTTTTTTAAACACAGGTAAATAATTTAGTTTCTGGACTTGATATAATAAGAGGAAGCTGCTGATAGCATTCTCTCTGGACCCGTTACTGTACTGCTGGGGATACTCACACATCTGCAAAGTTCTCTGCACTCCTGGGCTACAACTTGCTTTGTTATGACAGCCTCGCAGTTCTGCCGCAGCTCTCCCCCATTTTCACCGTGAACTACAGTACTCCCTGTTATACTCAGTCTTGGGCTTTTGCACAATAGTTTGAGCTTCTGCCCAAGAGATCTTTTAACAGATGCACGTGTACGAGAGATACTTAACTGAAGTTATGTTGATTAGCCAGCCAGCAGATTCCCTTTAGCAAACAGCTCAGCTTTTACATTTTTGGATCAAATATCTCCATTGCTATAATAAGCAGGTAACATAATTTACATAACTAGAACTGACAAAGCATTTCTGTGAGAGCCACCAGCTGAACTGACCCATGTAAAGCCACTCTGTGGATCTGTCTTCATTTCTCTTTACCTTGAGTGGGGGTACCCGTGGCACCGGGGTCCCCGCTGCAGGAAAGGACTGTGGCTGAGTCCGAAATGCCTGGTGGTGCTGACAGTTCTCCATGACGCGTGGCTTTTTTTCAGGAGTGGTTACAGCTTCTTCACAACTCTCTGACTTCCTCTTATGGGCTTCCATAACACTGACTTCCATCTCTTCATTTACAGGGGACTTCTTTTCTGGTGTTTCTGGAGTCATCACTGGACTTTTCACGTTTGCTACTACTTCACCTGCTTCAGGGCTCTTTGGTTTACTCGGGGCCAACACTGAGGTACTGACAGTCTCTTTCACTAGCACTTCCTTTGATGCAGCATGCTTTCTCTCTTCTTGGGGCTTTTGACTAGCGGCAGTTTGTGGTTTCTCTTGAATGGATTCTCCTTGGACTCCCTCTTTTATAGGGAGAGAATGGTCGCTAGGTTTCACTGCACACCCATCCGGGGAAACCAAGGCCTCTGCAGGTTTGGCTGGTTTTGGCTGCATGTCCTCTCTTCTTTCCTCTCCTTTTTTCATCGCCAGTGCTTCCTGGACTACTTGTGCTTTAGACTCTAACGGAGAAGTAATCTCCTCTTTGCGTGGTGCCAGAGAGGCTGGCATGCATTTTGGCTGTTCAGCTGTTGGATTTTCAGTCTCTGTCTCAGCAGAGCTGGTATTTGCTGTCAGTTTCTTGGACTCTTCAGGACTTAACCCAGAACTATCAATAAAAACAGAATTTTTATTTTGTAAAACATTCTTGCGAAAAGCATACTCTCCCTTAGGAAAACTGAGAGGGGATTCTCTACATACCACACCCTAAATAAGTAAGTGTCACAGACCTCATTCTATGCCATGATCTTTGAAAACCTGCAGTACTGTTAGTACTTCCACATGAAACAGAACATAATAGCAAAGTTTAAAAACAGCTAAATTAAATACATGGAACACAGGTTAGATCTAATCTTCTAACCAGATACAAATTTTCCAGGCTGTGAACCAAAAGAATTTGGCAAACAGTAAACATTCCCTTTATTAACTACCACAGACCTATCTCTGCAGCATGCAAACAACCCCACACAGCTTGCACTTGACTGAAACTCAATGGTGATTATTTGCAGAAAGGGACACTAAACTCCTGAAAAGTGTCCCACCATTTTTTCCAGAGGAACACAGCTAGTGTCAGAACCACTGACATATCCTTAGCTTAGAACCGACGTTGCTGCCTTTCTCCATCATCAAAAACATTTCTCTGTATTATTCATCCGTCTTTATTTGTGAAAGAAATGAACAAGCTGGGAATCAGAGAGATGTCTGATTTAGGATCAACTTCATCCATCCCTCTTAATGAAATATCAAATTTGGGTTTTTTGCCAAAACATGAATCCATAAAGTCTGATGAAGCCAGTCTGATGAATCTATGGTATTGATTTATACCAGGCAAGTTCTTAGGAGCTAGAGAGAACTGAAGTCCTGCTCTTGTGCACGTCACCTCCACGCTGTCCTGCTGTCCCCGGTCCCTCTAAAGCTTCAAAAATATGGCTGTCACCTTTTATCTTCCAGCACAGACCTCCATGGGTGATTACATCCTGGTTCTCAATGCTGGGAGAACTGGGTAAGTTAGCTGAGTAAAGCTCTTTGCTAATGCCACTAGATCACTTGCATTCTCAACCTGGTGTATTCCTTTACTCAGTACTGCAGCCTGCCATATGTACATGCACACACACATCAGCCTCCTGCTCACCCATGAAACCCCAAACTATCAGACCATGGAATGACAGAAATAGGGCTTGCAATAATCCAAATACTCTAGAGGGTTAACACATCATAGATGAATGGGAGGAAACTGGCTGACAGTCCAAGGACAAGCATCAAAGCTAACTGTCAAGATGCAGGATAAGAAATTCCTTATTAGTTATTTATATGCGTCTGTTGTTTTTCAAGTTTCTTAGTATAGTTACTCACATAGAAACCTGTAATCCTCTCTATAGCCCAAAAGGATGGGAAAGTCTTAAAGCAAAACAAAATGCAGAATAAAAGACTTGCAGACTTGGGAGTTTAACCAAATATGTGTCTGATTGAAGATGTGGGGAAATACACAAGATTTTACGTAGCAGGTGACTTACTGCAAAGGTTGAGTATGCTCAACCACCACATACCCGTGGATCTCCAGAATCCTGACACTAGAAGAACCCTAAGAGGGGTATGCCTCAAAGTATCATAGTAAGGAGCCGGAAAAGTTAAGATGAAAAATCTAAAGGACATCCTCACCTCAGGAAAACAGTACTATGCTGGTTAAAGCATTAGAAATCATGACAGCAAACACATCACTTCTGACCTAGATCACTCAGGCATTTTCTCAGTTCTGTGGCAGCTAGATGAAGCTAGAGACCCTTTTCAGGTTTCAGGACTAATGAGAAATAATGTGTATCGATAGACAGCACGCTACAAACGCAGCAACAGGTACACCTGGACAGGCAATGCAGGATTAAAAAACACAGTTGAATGTCTTACCTCTGACCATAGTAGCTCTCAAAAAAGTGTTCCTTCCACAGCTCGACTTTCTTTTCCTTTTCTATTTCTTGCCTTATTCTTAGCTGCATTTCTGGTGTAAACTCACCTGCAAAACACAGCAAAAGATACCTTAAAAAAGCTATGGGTAAAATGAATCACGATAACCAGAGGAGCCTTCACACTTGCAGGTGAGAGCGCCATCTCAGAAGTCCCCTTCGGAGCTTATGACACTGTAGCCCAGCCTGTGGTACTTCAGCATTTCTCCTGAGCTGTGAGGTGTTTCTCTGCTGCTTACTCCTTGCTGTGGATGGGCAACAGCTTTACACCTCACAGTCACAACTCCTTTCCCTGTCAGTGTCTGCTCTGGCTGCCAATACATGCTTTATGTGAACTAGCGCTTATTAAATGAATACAAATCTATACACAAATATATGTTGTGTGTATGCATGCACTACGTAACTGCCATTTTCTGAAGGATATGAAGATATTGCCTACGCAGATGGCAAAGCAATATGGCACCTTAAAATGACAGTCATGGATGGCTGCGGTGAAATACACATGCAAGAACATCAAAGACTTCTTGCCCAGCATGACAGAAAGTATTTCTGGCAACGGATGCTATTCTGTCACAGGCAGGTGGGAAACAAAAAAAAAAACCAAAACCCAAAAACCCCTCACACATCTGAAGCACACATTTCACACATAACGTATTGTGGTTTGTAAGAAATGTTTCCTAATGTCATGTCTGAACCCTCCCTGACACAGCTTTGAGCCATTAAGGTTTGTAAGACCTTATGTTAATACTTTAGAGTTCATTAGGCAACAAGAAAGCTTGTTTTTCTGACACAACTGCAGTGCTTTGATGATAGACATGTGACCCTGAGCCTCAAGACTTCACTCCTTCTCAAGGTTTATCTAGTTCACACGCCATTTTTTATGTGCTTTTTAGCACTGGAGGAAACAGTTACTAGAATCAGATCTTTTCCAACATTGCAGTTAGGAAAGAGAGGGGAATCTTTAAAGAGATTAACAGGAATTGGATACTTTCATCACTGCACAGTTTCTCAACAATTTTTTTCCCATTAAATAAGGGGATCATAAGAAATTCTTGCCGAGTTTGTTCTCCATGCAGTTCTCAAAATATGTCCAAAGGAAACTAAGAGTGTGTCCCTTTCTAGTACACTCCTATTTGTCAGTATGAAATCAGGACAGTCATCTTTCCATTGCAGCAAGTACAGAGGACCCAAAACAGAAATTCTGGTACATTGACCTTCTTTTCTATTTTTGTATAAACTTGGTCAGGTAAATAATATAGAAAATCTGTTGCATTGAAAACAGTGGAACACCTGCCTTCACTTAGAGTAATTTAGCAACAGGGTACAACATTCATTCATTTGAAACACTCTCTGTTGTAGCAGTGAATTCTTGGATTTTCATTGCTGTGGTTATGCCACCTTTGTCTCCCAGCTGGGAGATTGCAACTAAAAGCATACGTCTGCATGAGCCTAGGCGTGCACTGAGTGCAAAGCACAGTGAAAAACTTTGTGGCAGCTTGCAGTCAAGTGGAAGTAACTTTACTCGTGTCTACCTGAAGGTTGATAGGGACCTCGGGAGGTCTCTTAAGTCCAACCTCCTGCTCAGAGCAGGGGCAGCTTGGCCTCCACCAGGTTGCTCAGGCCTCTGGTCAGTTGGGTCTTGAAAACCTCCAAAGTTGGAGATGACACAACCCCTCTGGGCCCCTGCTCCACTGCTGGACTGTCCTCACAGGGAAAAAGCTTCTCCTTATGTCCCATCTGACTCATGCCTGTTTTCTCTCATTCCCCTGCCACGCACCACTGCGACAAGCCTGGCTCCATCTTCCTGATGGCCTTCTTGTAGGTAACAGGGGGCTGCTACCAGGTCACCCCTCCCCAGCCTGTATCGCTGCCAGGGGCTCTTCATTCCCAGGGGCAGGATCCTGCCCATCTCCAGCCTCTCAGTCCCACTTGATGGCAGCCCTGCCCTCGAGCTCATTGACTGGTTCCCCCCATTTTGGTGTCCGCTGCAAACTCCCCCAGGGTCGTTGATAAAGATGGCAAATAGGACCAGTGCCCGGACAGACCCCTGCGGCCTCCACTTGTCACCAGCCTCCAGGTGTGAACTGTGACTCCAAGCTTGACCGTCTAAACAGCTACTCACCCATCTGGTTGTCCACCCATCTAGACCCTAGTGTCCCAGCGTGGATACAAAAGTACTGTGGGAGACACTTATCAAAAGCTTTGCTTAAGTTGAAGTAAATGATGCCCACTGCTCTCCCTTTGTTCACAAATTCAGTCATTTTTAATGCAGTGAAGCTATTCAGGCATGCTTTACCCTTGGTAAACCATGCTGACTCTTTCCAATCACCTTCTGCACATTCCCAGACATGTGCTCCAAGAGGGCTCGCTCCATGACTTTCCCAATGATAACACTGAGGCTGACCAAGCCTGCCTATGTTAAATAATACTGTGGGTGACCCCAAACAGCATTGTTATGACTCATTGGTACCTTGAAGAGTAGCTGAAGAAAGCCTACAGGACTGCTCTTGCCCACAGTGGCATCACGCTTTGATACCTGAGCAGAGATACAGTGCTCAGCAAGAATGGCAGTGGAGATCTCCAGACTTCACCCTCATAGTTGCAAGCTTTACCACTGTAGCAGTTCTACAACAGTTTTACTCTGGTGAGAAAATCTTTACATAAACATAGCTGCACCCTCTAGACATGTAGACATGAATGGACAAAAGGTCTTCTAAGAAGCATTAAAGGGAAAACACTAAATGATAACGGCTAAAACTAGGGGTGGTTTTAACAAACAGATTAGACAGCTGAGTTCTATGCCTTCCTGTTTACTGGCATAGATACACCTGGAATCTACAAAATGTGAAGGATTAATTCATACAGAATCGGATACATTTTCTATGGAAAAGCCTCTTTAGAGTCAATCATCTGGGCATGAGTAAATCATATTCCCTTGTTCTTAAAGTGATTCATGATTGGTGCTGTAGTCTTTATAAAAACTCTGGTGACAGGCTGCGTGGTTCAGTTCTGTAGAGGAAATGGTCCCTGCCCACAATGAGTGAGCACACTTCTGGTGATGTGATTTGATCAAATCACGGAATTAAGCACCCCTAAGTTCAAGTTGCAAATGACTGTTGAAGGTGCAGGAGTCCTATAGATTAGTAAACGGCTGACTTTGTTATATAAAAAATCACGGCTCAAAGGACTGACCATACCAGCTGTGGCTAGATGACTTCACTGATGACAAAGTGCATTAATCTGGGAATATAATTCACCTTCTCTACTGAGCTTCACAGTGGGCTGTATGTAGCTACTACAACTTGAGAATAACACAGGCCTACTGTCATTTCAACAAGATTTTAAACACATTTTTCCTTCTTTTCTCATCTCTTCCAGACACTTGCTCAGTTTGCCACATGTTAAGTTCAAAAGAGAACTCCTTACTGCAGCCCTCTCTATGACCTTGAGATTACATAGTTCTAGGCTTGCATTTGCTCTCATGGGCTGCATTGACTACAGCTGTCTTTACCTACTAAATCATTCCAGTGCTTCAACTTCTCCGTAAAGTATCTTTTACACATTCCCCAAAACATTCACTAGTGGAAAGTCTTCTAGCATTTTGCTTCATTGTTTGGGGAAGTTTTACCTTCTGACAACCTCTCCTTCCAGCCTTGGGCAGCTGAAGTGAAGAACTCGTTGTTGAGCGCAGAGCCACTCAGCTTCATCAAACCATCCGCCCCAACCTGGAATACATGACAAAGCAAATAGTATTAACTAGCTGGAAAGACAAATGTCACATGTTGTCACAGGGGATCTGAAAACAGAGCAAGAGTCCCAACATAGCCACAAATCTCACTGGAGTCTGCCTTTACCTCACTCAGAAGAAAATAAACAGCCTTCTTAAGGCTGTGCTTAGCCAAGTCTGAGATCTAGGAGGCTGTGGTAAGTTTTCCTCATCCTTGCTTCAGCCCAATCCTCTATAGTCCTGCTGCTGCACAAACATACGTGAGCAGCAGATGGTACAGGTGGCAAGGAGAAGCACACAGAAACAGAACAGCACAGCCTCTGAGAAGCTTCTTCAGATGCCCTTTCCTCTGCAAAACGAATGCATGGCATCGCCTGAAGTACCATCCAAAGCAATAGCTCTGCTGTCATCTGGTGAATGTAAAGTGCATAAAGGAAAAGCAAGGACATAAAAGGTATCACATAAAAGTAACTTTGAAATTTATATAATCATAACCATGGATGCTTCAGGAAAAACAGGGACAAATGAAACTTAAAACCCATTCTGTCTTTGAAATACAGGGAACCAAATAGGGCAGTCATACGATAGAGTAGGACATAAATGAGAAAGCATGAGGCTAAGACTGGAACATAGCATGGTGGGAAATTATAACCAGGGTAAAACAACATATATGAGGTTTGCTTTTGCTCTTTACCCCACAGAAGTAAATGTGGAATTTCTCTACCAGAAACACAAAAATACACATATCATTCAGGAAGTAGGCAAAACTGATGTACTTCCATTTCTTGCATAAATAATAAATCAGAACAAATAAGCAAAATCCAACTGTCCAAATGTAGGTTATGTCTGATTACACTGGGAGATCTGTGCAGCAAATGTTCAATGGTGCAGGATTTGATAAAGAGAAACACTGCTCTTCCTGAGGCAACATTTGTGATGCAGGTAATTAAAATGATGGCAGTGACCTAATAGAAGGTTTTGTAGATAAGATTTCGTTAGAGATTTTTAAGTTAGGAGCAGCCATTATAGGGATTTGCAAAAGCAGAGATTTATTTTCTAGTCCAAATCTCTGTTGATTGACTACAGGGAGCAGAATTCACAAGACTATCCCCTACTGCACATATGGTGTTGCCTGTTCCTTGTATTGGAGGACAGACAACTAGCGCAGGGCTGGCTGGGTTGTGCCTCAAAGTGCCCGCTCTCTCTTCTACAGAAGCACCAGCTGTAATAGCTCAGACTGAGTCACTGCCAAGCAAAACAAAACAGATATGTGACCTTTCACAACTGGCATGTCCAACACCTTCACCTCTTCTCCTTTTTACTACAGGAAAGTCTGACATTTTATAAAGCACACATCACCACTTTGACATGGTGGGCTGCTCTAGGAGATCTACTACAGTGAAATGTAGAATTTGTCCTCTCAGGAGCCAAGCAATATTATTTAGTCAGTCAAAATTTGTTCTCAGTCAAATTCTAATTCAATTTAAGGACAATTAAACTTAAAAGTCAGGACAGAAATGTCTTACCATCTGCTGTGAGGTTCTTGCCAGAAAACTCCAGCTGCAAACTCCATCACATCATATTTTGACACATACCTAATTATTACAAAGGCCACAGGACTTATAAAACAATTCCTTCAAATATTTATTGGATCAACCTTGGACTAACAAGTCCCCGATGAATGCTGATTGAAGATTAGAATTCATGAGACAACATTAAGTGTTAGAACTCCTCCTAACTCCAAATTAACACTATCTGTTCAGCAACGCACCCTCCGTGAAGCAGACCATAGTGCAGCTGCCAGACCCGTACGCATTATTAACATTCTGTGAGAACTGAAAGAGCAGCACAGCTGTGAAGATGGATATAACTTCACTAACCACGGATGTCTGTGCTGTCAGTGTCTAAGCTGGTGTCCCTTCACAGTTTATAGTGATCAAGTCAACTGAGTGTATGGAGGTGGGGACTCAGTTCATCTCATCCTGAAGCAGACACCTGTATTTGGTCACAGGCTCTTGATTGTACCAACCAGATTTCCACATTCTATAAAAGGAGCCCTGAGTAACTAGCTGAGACATAGGCTCCTGGGAGGTGACTGAGGTATGTAAACACAAGCATCTAGTACTAATCTGAACACCACACAGAAAAGTATCTTCAAGGCACCTGCAGATCTGAGACAGGACATACAGAAGATTTTCATCTGGAGTGGCATCTTGAAGCCAGCTTTGCTATCTAAAGAACATTTCAAATGGCTCTAGGCACATATGTTACAGCATCTGAATTAACACCCCTACAACTGAAGTGGAAGCATAGTGCAGAATCCCACTCTGCTCTGAAGCTCCCAGCCAGTTGGGGTAGGAATGCTGAAGACAAACATAACACATGAACAGGGTAAAAGGAAGGAAGCATCCTTGTTCTATCTACTACTTTTCTGGTAGTGAGCATAAACAGATTGAACTTCACTTCCTCAACTCATTGGTTTTTCCTCCTTTTACATGTAAGCGCCACATCAGTTCTTTTCTCGTCTCTTAGTATAATCCCTGCCTTCCACAAGCTGCTGAAGAAAGCTGCTATCATGTTGATATTGCTTCAGGAAGTTTTTTTATGTACCCCTTCAGATGAAATTTATCAGATCCAGCTGAGTTGAAATAACTGTCTTATCAAAAGATTCTCTTAGCTGTTCTTTCAATACTGAAGGCTGAGTTCTTGTCCCCTTGTCCCTCATGTTAATTGCTCCAGCTATCACCAACTCTTAAGTGAAGAGCTCAGTGAAAACCTTCACCATTTCTTCTGTGCCACTCCCAGAGCAAATGAACCCATTCCTCCCCACTGAGTACTTTTCTGCTTTTCCAAATTCCTCTCTTCACACACAAAGAGGTCTTAGACAGACAATCCACAAAAATAAACTGCCTTCAAGGCTGACCTGCACCACATGCTTGGTACCTTTAATCTAGTGTGTGTTTCAGGTCAGGACACAAGCTCTCTGGAGCAGGTCAGGTCCACTCTGCAAACTGGACAGCGTAAGTATGCAATAGAAAACTCATTCAGTTTTCACTTTACCAAATTCAGAATTTGACAGCAGTGACACGAGGTCATGAGAAATGAGAATGGTGGAACTGAATAGCTGCATCTGTTTAACTCCTGGCCCTCTTCAAGTCCAATGTAACAGAAAAATTGCTCTCGCTGTAGCTGGGAACAAACATGGAGTTGATTAACGAGAATTAAGCCACTGGTTTATCAAACCGGAACTCCTTTTTCTTTCTGGTAGCAACAAATACCCAAGCAAATCACTGAAGAATTTTCCAGGTTTTTTTATGTTGTGCACAGAAGAAAAAGTCTACCCCATTGGACATAAACACCATATTTGGATGTCTAGTCTGCGCTACTTCTGGAGCTGCTCCCTACTGACGCCTAAGAGCCTTGCTTCTCTCCACAACAGAACCCACGACATACCTGCCTGTCCACCTCCGGCAGCAGCAGCAGCAGGCGCTGCTGGCATTCTGTAGGCAGAACGGAGAACGTATGCTTGTTGATCAGTGCCCGCAGGTTTGTGTTCACAAGGATGGAGTCGGGAGTTTCCACATCAATTTCAGCACACTTTGTTCTCTTCAGCTGCCCTGCAGTGAACCACAAAGATGTAAGTAACTTCTTACCTAAGAGAGGATTAAAGCCTCCTTTGGAGTTCACTGTACCTGAGATTTTCAAAATGCCACCTTAGTAATCCATTTCAAACCTTGACTTGAAGTATACATTTTACCTTTGCACATACAGTTAAAAACAAAATGTAGGAGGTCCTTTCCAGCACAGAAAAATTTCCATACCTACCATATTGTAGCCTGTGTCAGGTCACCTATCTTTTGTAGGAATCCTGGCTATCTGGGGACTGGTAAGGAGTCTTTTTTGGGGGCGCTTCTAGAACTGCTTTTAGCCCCATCAATTTTCTATTTTAAGCCTCTAGTTAAGGTCAGTTTGTTCCTCGGCATTTCTTCTTGGACTTTCCTACTTTGTTCTCAGCAAAAGCATTTCAGAAAGATTCATCAGCTCATTGTGCTTGTGTAGAAACCACAACACTAGACAAAGCCATAAAAATGAGTAACTATTTTCTTTCCTTGTCTGTGTTTCAAAGCCAGCAAGTCCAGCATTAACCCTTATGCTACAGCCAGCTTCATGGATGTGCTGCAAATTCAGAGAAGAATAATGAACAAAGTATTTGTACTGCATACTCTTATTTTCTTCGGATGCATCCACTGTCCATTACTGGCAAAATACCGTGTGTTTTGAAGCTTAAATTAAAAGTGCATTATTAGCAAAATGGGTAATATTAAGACAGAACCTGCTCCCCCTGACTTCAGGGATGACAACAATTATTTTTAAGGTAACAGTACCTAACAAAATAAATGCCATGGAGGCTCGTTTCATTAGGGGAAGTTTGCTCTATTAGAAGTCATTCAGAAAATGGCTCTGCAGTTTTATAATCTACTTAAGCTGCAGAATTTCCTAATTACAGCGGACAAATGAAACACGCCCTGTAAACTGCCTATTTTCACCACTGATAAAGGAAATCTAGGATGATTAGCATCAATAGAGACCTCAGCATATCCTTAAGTTCACTGAGGTCAATTCCATCATTGGTATATGTAAAATAAACCACAAAAGGTCAGGAGGGCTGAGAAAGACCTAACTTCAATGAATGGGAAGGAAGCCAAATAACAGTGCGGTCTGAAGTATAAAGGTCTGGGAAGGAATTTCTTTTTTCTTTTTAATGTTATCAAAGTGTCTTAAGTACATTAAAAAGGCTGCTAAATAATGCAACTCCTTTTTTGCTTGTCAAACAGCAAGCTGCAAATCCACAGGTAGAAACCCCTGATGATAAGAAATGAGAAAAGGCTTATTTGCATATGTAAGGTTTGAATTATTTATCCTAATTCACACAGCATACTAGCAGTACCTTCCAGAGTTGTCCAGAAGTCACTTTAGCAATGGAATTAATTACACATATTTATTCAATTTTGCTATTTAGGCTTTTGTTCTGTCATCAGAGCAACCAAATCTCTGTAAGCAGAAAAATAAATATCTTACTTGCATGGAGCCTGTCAGATCTCTGGAATGGTTTCTTCCCCAGCCCTGGCAAGGAGTTATCAAGCTTAACAGAGGGAGAGGAACTGGAGGTGGAGTTCTGAGGGCTGCTTGACTGTCCATCTGACTGCTTTCCTTCCCAAGCTGCACAGGAAATGGAAACATTTAAACACAGGGATGTACAAAGAAATATTACAGGAGACATCTGTTTGGATTGAAATAAAGGTTCTTTAACATGCATACCCTAATCCCAGCAGCTCTGGGACAAGCACTTCTAGGATACTTATATTCCTTTGTTCTTGTAGCACACAAAATCCCTTTGTAGCTACCAGACTACCACAAAATAAAGGGATGGACAGCCATTTCATTTATGGTTGGAATCTATTTCCCGGTTAGTCCCATCTTATTTTGCATCTATATCCAATCCAGTAATGATCTTGTTAAAACTTCATTTCAGAGGCAGCTTTAGTTTCTGTTAGAGTTCACTGTCAGGAAAAATCTCTTCATACTTTATGTGTACTTTCTAAATTTTAACCTACTATTGTAGCTTTTGTTCTTTTAGACCACACTCAGTAATCCCTTCTCCTCTTTCAAATACTCAAGAGATATTTTCATGTCCTCCTCCAAAGTCACCACTTAGCCAAACTGGACAGATTTCACCACGATTATTTCTCCTTACAAATCAGTCCCACCCACATTCTCTTTTGTATAGCAGTATTTTTTCTGCCAGTGGGAAGAGCTTCTTCCCTATTCTCCCTGCCTTCCTTTCCCTCCTCTTCCTAAGTGAGATGAATTAAGAACATGAGCTGGTCCTCCCTCTGCTCTCTTTAGGTTTATGTGTAATAGCAGGTACTTACTCAAGTACGGAAAGGTGCTGAAGCCCCATACCTTGAAAGAGAAACGCCACAATACACGTCATGAAGTCACAAACTAAAGAATGCTGGCTCTGATTAAGGACTTCTAATAATCAATTCCTTCACCCCGTCTGTGTCAGCTTTGTTCCCCATCTGCCTCTCTTACTCTCCTCTCTGCCTGGTTCCTTTCCTCTTCCTTCTCTTCCTTACACTAGCTGTTCTAGTTCTGACTAAAGGCATCCCTGAAATTGTGGGATCAGTGTGTTGCTTTCTACCAGAATATTGTTCACTCTCCACTTGTATGTTTAATTTGCTTCTCCATCTCATTCTATCCCACTGTCCTGGCTGTGAACTATTTCTATATACTATCACGTGGATAGGAGGGGAAAAAACGACTCCATGGATGCTGATGAAAAACATACAAATGCTACTCATGTTGCAGCAACACTCAAAGGCTTTTACAGTAATCAACGTTCAGTCTAACTGGGGGCTGCGTAAACACACACTGTTCCTACCCTGAATCAGTCGATTAAGGTGATGGCAAAAGCTGAGGAATATGGCTTTCCTGAGACCACATGTGAAATGAGTTTGATCCTTAACTTCTTTCTGTCCCTCAAAATCTTTAAGGTAGGAAAACTCACATGGCTGGATGCTGGCATGGATAGGTACCAACTCTTCAGGAAAGGCAGGCAAGGAAGATCAGTCAAGGTTGTCCTGACTATGTATACAAGCCCGTAGGACAACAAGAGTTGAATCCAAGGGTCCTGGGGGAGCCCACCAGTGTCCCTGCAAGGCCTCTCTCTACCATCTTTGAAAAGAAATTAGGATGGTGGGAGATTCCCCACAACTAAGACAGGCAAATGTTGCACCCACCTTCATAAAGGGCCAAACAGACAACCTGAGAACAGACTGGTTAGCCTCACTTTTCTCCCTGAGTAAATCATGAAGTGACCCCTCCTGGAGCCCACTTCTGGGCACACAAAGGAGATAATGATGACTGGAAGCAGTCAGCATGGACTTACCATGGATAAATCATGCTAAATCACCAGCCTGATGGCCTTCTGTGATCAAACTACTGTTTGTGGACGAGGGAAGAGAGGTGGATGCCATTTACCTTGACTTTAGCAAGGCATTTGACATTGTGTCCCACAATACTGTATGTGAGCTGGGACATTAGGGTGTAGATGGGTGGACAACCAGATGGGTAAGCAGCGGGTGAAGTGGCCAGGCTTGGAGGATCATGCTCCATACTCTGCCTGGAGGCTGGCAACAAGTGAGTGCCTCAGGGCACCGGTCCTGGTTTACATTTTTATTTGGGGGAGGCAATGGAGCACTTGCTCAAGTTTGCAGGTAATGAAAAATCTGCGGGGACCAGTCAATATGCTCGAGGGCAGAGCTGCCACCAGCAGGACCGAGCCAGGCTGGAGGAAGGGGCCAGCGGGGACCCTACACAAAGGCAAATTCCTGCCCCTGGGAAGGAAGAGCCCCCGGCAGCGATACAGGCTGGGGGCAGCTCTGCTGGAGGGGACACGAGGCTCCAGGCAGACACAAGCTGAACGTGTGCCCCGGCACCACAGGCCAACAGCATCCTGAGCTGTAGGACCACAGGACCACAGACAGCAGATCAAGGGAAGTGATCATCCCTCTCTACTCAGCGCTCGTTAGAGCACTCCGTGATTCTGTGTCCTGTCCCAGGGCCTCTAATACAAGGATGACATCAAAAACCAGGAGCGAGCTCAGCTGAGGAACACCAAGCTGCTCAGAGGACTGCAGTGCTTGTCCTGTGAGGAGAGGCTGAGGGACCCTGGGCTTGTTCGGGCTGCAGAAGAAAAAAGGTTGAGGGACACCCAGTAGTCACCACCCTGTTCCTACCAGGAGGCCTTCAGGAAGATGGAGCCAGGCTTGTCACAGTGGTGCATGGCAGGGGGACAAGAAAAAACAGGCAAGTCAGCCAGGATATAAGGAAAAAAATTTATCCCTGTGAGGACAGTCTGCAATGGAGCAGGGATGTGCCTCCTCCACCCTTGGAGGTTTTCAAGACCCGACTGACCAGAGACCTCCCGAGGTCCCTGCCAACATGAATGGTCCTGTGATTCTAACGTATTTTCAGAGTAGTACTAGAAAAGTTGGATAAGTTGACACACAGAACGTACGATAGCTTGCAACCATAATGTAGCAGCAAAACATGGGAAAGTCAAGAGAGGAAAAAAAAACAGTAACAAAAATTAGATAGAGATGCTGGAAGAAAATAGTTCACCCATGATTAAAGTGGATGTGGTAATAGTTTGGGAAATGTGAAACCAAAATAAGGAGAGAAACTTAATATGCCGTGACCTCCTGCTCCAGAGGCCTGACATGCAGTGCCTGGGAAGGGCCAGACGGCAGACCTCCAGCAGCTGGATCCTGGCCGTACTCAGGAAAGGCAAAAGCCTCATTAGAATCACAAAAAATAAAGACACCAAACAATACTTTAAGTACTCTAAGAAACATGAGTTTGGATTACGTACTCCATTAGTCTGTTTTAATAATTACCCTACGGTAGCTAAGAATCTTACAAAATAGCCAACCTGTTTCAGTCCCTCTTAGGTCTCCCCTGTTCCTACTTCCCTAAGTGAAGGTGCAATTCCTCCTGGGGCAGGGAACTCAGGAGATGGGGTCCTCCAGGAATGATATCTGCCTATTGTGCTAATGAACCATTCAGGTTTAATCCTAGTTAGCAGAGAAATTCCAAAAGGCTTTTAAACTATCATTTTATGCTAAAGATTTCATACACCTGGGACTGCATTTTCTTAATACCGTTATGGGAAATGTGTAATTTTCTACTGGATTAATTTTGGCTTCCTTCTCAGACTACACTCGCCTAGGTGTAAAGGGCACAAGCACAGCTTAGAACTGAATTTCAAACAAGCAAAATATTAACCTTTTTCCCCTTAACCTTTTTGAAAGGGTCTGAACCACAAAGCTGCCTGGGAACAACAGGCAAACTCATCAACTGTTAAATACTTACTCTGCTATTAAATGATGCATGCAGTACAGCTGATAAATATGCCTCTTCCTTTCAATTGGATATATGGCGCATAGCCGCAACCTTGCATATGCCTGAACAGATGTTACAAGAAACATTCCAGCAGTATATAACCAGCAAGCGAGGACAGATTGGTCTAGTTTTGGTTTGGATTTGTTTAGAGCTATTTGGAAAGGAAAAATAAACAAACACACTAAAACATAAAAAGACTTTTATACTAAAGAAAACCAGCATGAGATGAGGAAACATCTCCAATTATGTAAAAGGCGGTAGGGAGAAGAAATCAGATAACCTGCACTCTGCGACCATGGTGGACAGGACAGGAAATCTTGGGTTTAAACCCAAGGAAGCAAGAAAAGATTCTGATTAGAGGTTAAGAAAAACTTTTTAAGGCTAAAGTTAACAAAGCAGGAAGGACAAGACTTGCTGGGAGTTTTTGGTCTTTGCATCGATGGCATCTCAGAACAGACTGAAGAAAACATCCATCAGGAATGCGTCATAGATCCTGCCCTGAGGAAAGGATGTGGACTAGATGCGGTCTCAAGGATACTCCTAGGCCTAGTTTCTGATGGCTCTATGAAATTTCTTAACCTGACCAGTCAATTTCAGCTAAACATTCAAGTAATTACACCAAAAACTTGCAAGGGCAAACTGTTTTTCATGCTAATATTGTCCTACTGCTGTTGTATAATCCTCTCCAGCTACTTCTACACCAGTAAACAGAACTGTGACATTGGCCATTCCCCTGGCCCCAAGAACAACTGGCACAAACCGGCCACGTTCACATCCTTACACTTTGTCTCCTCCAGGCGGGGCTGGCCACGTTCAGAGTGCCTGCAGGGAATAATATTTGGCCTGTGCTGAACACCAAGCCATGCCAAGGACTGCCTAGGAGACTGCTAGCTTGTCCTGAGCCAAGCTACGTCAGGGAATTTAGCAGAATGGATTGACTGAGTTCCAGTTCTTGTGCCCAGTACTTTGGCAACGATTAACTCGGCAGCTGAGATGCAGCTTCTCTCCCTCCACATGCAGTTGTTTCTTGTTCTAAGCACAGATTTGTTGGCTAAAGGACTGACTGGAAGGGGAAGGACTTTGGGGACTGGAATCAGGTTAACAGATGCTGTAAGGATAATGAAGGTAATGGTTCTGTAAGGTAACGGTTTGGTATTACCCATGTTATCGGGCTTTACCAAGAAGTAATTTTTAAGATGACTGAAAATAGCTTAGGATTAGAGTTGTAATTTTGTTGTGATCCAACTGCTTTCTCTCTCTTTTTTTGGGCAAGCTTCATGACTGTCAGTCTCAGCCACTCCATCTGTGAGAGAACACCTGAATAAAGTCTTTCAGAGTGAGCGTTCTTGCTGTGTCGTCCTCAACAGTTACGTTTTCATGATCATCATCCTTCTGAGATGTCAAGAACTCCCCTAACTTTACATGCATACTGTTGGACCCTAAAATAGAAAATGACAACTCAGGAGTCTCAGAATCTCAACAGTTCTAGGAAAATGCCTGCTTTTGGCGGGGTCAAAAAAAGCAAATTGAATGCTAGGACTTGTTAAGAAAAGATGAACAAAACGTAGAATACCAAAATGATGCTATACAAATTCAGAATGCATCTTGCACCCTGAACTGTGTACAGTTTTCATTCTCTCTTGCAAAAAGCATATAGCTTTCCATATGAGGAATGAGAAAATATGGTAGGACTCTTCAGGTCAAAAAAGAGATGTCTACAAAAGTCACGAGTGGCAAAATTGTTGAATAAACAATAGTTATTCATTGCCTGCTTGATAATTAGAAGAAATCAAATGAAGGTATAAGCAGCCTGGCTCAAACCAAACAAAAATGAGTAGTTTTTACAGTGTGGTGCTTGCCACAAGGCATTTACAAAGTCAACTTTCCCACCCCCCAGGTTCGGCAAATCCACTGAAGAAAATCCCACCCAGCCCAAGAAATACAAAGACATCTCCTCTTTCTTTGAAGGTCCCCAAGCACTGCTACATGCCTACCCTGCTTTTACACACTTCTCAATGCATGTGCCATCAGCAGTGTTGGACACAGGTCACCAGGCCAAATGTCTTTGCTTTGCTAGGCCTGCTGTTCTGATTTCTGCCGTAAGTATGAACAAAAGCAGACTGGTCTTCAGTGACCGGGGAGCTGGTACCGAGCCACTACCAGTAATGTTTACAGATGACTTGACAAATTGTGGATTGATAAAATAAATCTGCAAAGTCATTTACTTGTACAACATTAAAATCAGTCTATACAAACATTTCTTGCATCTAAAAGAAAACAACTTGAGTCATGCACACAGAACCAGGAGATTATAATGGAAATCAGTTACACCAAAAAGAATTTAGAGAAAACTAGCTAGAAGTAACTACCAAGAATTTATGGTAACTTGTGAAATGCTGCTGATGGTAAGGGAGCTAATGAACTGTTGAATGAACAAGAGAAGAGCAGTGATCTCATTAATTTCTAATGCAGCATAAATGCTGGAAACCACTTGGGGATCTTTCAGATCAGAACATACATCTTTGGAACAAGACGCGAAAGCCACACAGAATGAGAAGGCACTTTGGAAAAAAATAAATACTAAGAGAAACACCACCCAGTTTGCTTAGCCATGAGAAGTACCTGACCACAGCATATAGGCAACTATATGGGAAGACATTTCTCACAGAAAGAAGCTTTTTAACCAGACAATGGCACAATAAGATCTATCCAAGATCTATTCTTAACTGAATGCATTCCTAATAAAATCAAAGCCAGGAAAATAGAAGCTACACTATTTCGGAAACAAAAAGAATGCCATATGAAAAGAGCACTTTCTTCTGTCATCCCCTAAGAAGAAAAGGCAAGTTAGAGAGACACAACAGTAAAAAACCACATAGGAGTGTCCCTGCCACGTACCAGATTTCGCAGGTGTGGAGTCACTGGCTGCCTTGACAGCCTTCAAAAGGACATGCTGATTAGCTGACACGGGCATGCCTGCTCTGCATTGCTGCTGTTGTTGCTTTTGCTGCTGCTGTTTCAAGGCCTGGGGAAGAGGACAGAAGAATATGAGCAAAGAGAAATTCAAAATATTTGTAGAAATTATCAGCACACAGTACAAACTGCTTGTTTCACAGCAACCTATAGTTGTGTTCTAACTATGTCAAAAGTACAAAATGACTTCTGAAAGACATTCAGTTCGCATGAGACACTGTCTATTTAAATATACTACTGCAAGTAGACAGATTTCCTACCTTGCATCTAAAGCAAAAAGTTAATGGTTGCAGAACATCTTAAGTTGTGTTGTTTCATGAGAAATGATCTCTAGAGAATGCAAAGAGAAAGGATTCCAAATCTGGAGTTGGTTCAAGAAGTAATTCTACAAATAACTTCAAAGTAAAAGTACCATCATGTAATTCATTTCCATCTCCTGGAGAGGCAAGCAGCAACTTACTAAAAACCTTCAAGAGAGACGCTACCCATCAGGAAAGACTTTTTTAATTAGGCAAGTAACAAAGATTAAAACACTAAAGGGAAGAAAATAAAATCCTTTGTTTCAGAAAAGGCTGTTAAGGCAACCATAATACAGCCTAAAAGGCACAAATGACTAAGACAAGGAAGTAGGAAGACATTTGGTTAAACTGCAGCATTTACCCAAACCACAGTAGCTGTTTTCAGAAAATGAAATCCAAACCCAAATAAACTTAACTGCAGAATAAATTACAACAGATCAAGTACACCACAGAATTTCAAAATAGGAAGGAACGGGAAATGTTGTGTTGCACATATACAAATGAGTGGGACTGTTAACTAGAGATAATCACCATCTTGAATAACAACAACAACAATAATCATAATAATACAGTTAGAACTAGGACAGAGAATAAAACTATGCAGGAACCTGCAGAATCTGCCACATGAGGAAAACAGAAGACAGACTGACTTTCAGTTTGTAAAGACACAAATGAGGGAGACTGACAGCAAAAGTATACAGATAATGAATAGACACCTTAGATTCCTATTTTCCAATTTATTATATAGTTCCTATTTGGCCACTTCTACCACGGGTTAAAAAACCATTCAGCCAAACTGAAACACAGCAAAATTAAAAATCAGGAGGAGGAAGTATCCTCTGCAATGCACAATTAAGCTCCTGTTATTGAGGTCAAAAGCTTTTTTAAAAGAGAGAGATAAAAAGAGAGACCTGGCATTCATACGAGTAACAAAAATCCATAAACAAGTTCAAGAAAGCTTTTACAAATTCTTCTTTGGTTTGAAGATGAACCACAGGCAACAGTGAATGTCAAGAAAGTACTAAAGTACAAAGACTGCTAGTGTGTTCAGGGAGTTGTTTGAATACCGTACTTCCATTATGCAAATCACTTCAAATATTTCAGGTTTAGTGTATTTGGTTCACCTATTCTGTATGCCATTTAATTGCTGCTTTTTTCTCGGCTCAGGTAAAACAATTCTGCTTTTGCTCATCGTGTCACCTCAGTTCTCAGTCATGCAGCGCCTGAGGTGCCCACGCCAATGGTGGCTGAGGCATGTGTGGGAAGAGGAGAAAACAATCATTCACTAGACACCTCTTTAAATTCTGTGTCCGCTTTGCACTTTACGTTATAACTTTTAGGGGTTTACTTTAATAAATCTAAATTTATATTGAGTCCTGCCATAATCATAGAATAATTCTGGTGGGAAAGCACCTTGGGAGGTCTCTTAAGTCCAACCTCCTGCTCAGAGCAGGGGCAGCTTGGCCTCCACCAGGTTGCTCAGGGCTCTGGTCAGCCGGGTCTTGAAAACCTCCAAGGGTGGAGGAGACACAACCCCTCCAGGTCCCCGCTCCAATGCTGGACTCTCCTCACGGGGAAAAAGCTTCTCCTTATGTCCTGTTTTTCCTTATTACCATTCAACTTATGCCCGTTGTCCCTCACCGCCCCACTTCCTTCACTGTACTGCGACGAGCCGAGCTCTGTCTTCTTGATAACCTCCTTGTACGTACGGTACAGGGGGGGAGCCAAGAGGGGAGGAAAGGGAAATGCCCGGCTCCCCCATAACACCCTATACCAGGCCCGGCTCCCCCATAACACCCTATACCGGGCCCGGCTCCCCCATAACACCCCACACAGTCCCAGCTCCCCTCAGCTCCAGCCATGCAAGGTCCCACTCTGCCAGCCCGCCTGTCAGGAACCAGCCAATCAGGAAAACGCTAACTACCCCACACCCACCAATCAGGCGGCAGCTTGCAGGCGCCACGGCTGCAGAAGCCTCTGGAAGCGTCTCTCTCTCAGAGGGTCTCTCCAGGGACACCGGAGCACGGCGAACCCCTCCGCCAGCACCAGCCCGCCAAATCTCCTCTAACCCTGACCCGCGTGGATACTCCCTCCCCTGTGCCCATGCCCATGCGCTGGGCTCATTATTTTCGTTTTGTTTGCCTTTCATTTGTCCTTTGTTCTCCCTCAACGAAGGGCAGATGTTCCTCAGCACACCTGCGCTTGCACAAAGGGCAGCTCTGAGGTAAACCCCCGCTGTCAAGGGCGGAAACCACCGCTTTAGAGAGTTGAGAAAGAGCGTAGTTCAAAATGGCGCCATTCAGCGTCATCAGCACCTCCTTTTATTGTAATTCAAAGACCTTATGTCAGCAGCACGCTCCTCCCTGTCAGCTCCACGGTGGATGACAACGGTGATGGTGACGGCAGCAGGACCAGGAGCTGCTCCTAAGCACCCACCTCTTGCTCTGCACCTGCCTACAGTCTCTGATAACGATGTTAAAAACCCACAGGGATGCACCTAACAGGGAAAAATCTGTACTGTACAGCTCCCTTCGTCACACAAAAGGTGACAAAATGACTATTCACCATCCAGAGAGCTTTTGTAGGGTGTAGCCCAACCCAGTCCCCAGCCCTACTCATTCCATGTATGTCGCAAGAACAGATAAAAGTGTAATGGATAAAAATGAAAGCCAACGGTATAAACCTTATCTGAGAAGAGGGTCTGAGTTCTAATCTTAAAACACCATGACGAGATCTGGATCAAGGGAGGGGATCCTCCCCCTCTGTTCAGTGCTGGCGAGGCCACAATGGGAGTGCTTGGTCCAGTTCTCCCAGTACAAGAGGGACATGGACAGACTGGAGTGGGTCCAGCAAGGGGCCACGACAACACTGAAGGACTGGAGCAACTCTGCTATGAGGAAAGGCTGAGGGGGCTGGGACTGCTCAGCCTGGAGCAGAGCAGGCTCAGGGGGAACGAATCCATGTCTATAAATGCCTGCAAGGAGGGAATGAAGAAGAGGGAGGCAGGCTCTTCCCAGTGGTGCCCAGTGCCAGGACCAGAGGCAACGGAAACAAAATCAGAAATTCCATCTGAACACAAAATACACTTTTTTACTATGAGGGTGATGGAGTGCTGGCACAGGTTTCTCAGAGAAGTTGTGGAGTCTCCCCCCTTGGAGATATTCAGAAGCTGTCTGGACGTGGCTCTGGGCGACCCTGCTTGAGCAGGGGGGTTGGAGCAGTGGGACCCCAGAGGTTCCTTCCAACCCCAACCAGTCTGAGTTTCTGTGAATTCTGATGGCACTGGGATGGCCGCTCAGGCTAGGAAAGGATGAGATGAGGTCAGTGGATTGGAAAGGATTAGAGGAAAGAATTAGAGTAGTACCTGCATTTTCCAGTGACGGGTGAGAAACCTCCCATCTTTCTGGATCTGGATTATAAATTCCAGAGTCTCAGTGTGGTGGGTTTTTTGTATCAGCACACACTCACTGTAACTAAGGGGGTTTTCTCCCCGTGATTGTTCCATCTTTCCAGTAGGATGAGCACTGACATGTCTCTGCCAATTTAGATTCAGATATTGCAAACCTCTAACTCGGGATTTTTCCAAACAGTTGTAAAGAATGCAGCCATCTGCTTACTTACTATACTTCATGGTGATGGCACACCAGTGTATACCATATTATTCACCTGTATTTTACAGTTTTAACTCTGATGTGTTTATGAACTAAATCCTGATCTTTATTTCTTGAAGGACCTGATACTTACAGTCAGTATAGTGGCAGCGTGGTGTTCCAGTGTTAAAAGTTCTCACTTAGAAATCTGCTCTCTCTTCCCTCCAGTAATATTATAACTACTTAGCACTTAAGATAGGAGGGCTGAATCCAGCCAGCTGTCTTCTGCAGTGCACGCTAGCAAATAATCTGGGTTGCAGACATAATTAAAAATATGAAAGCTTTCTTTAATTCTCGTTTCACTCAATATCTTATGTTTTTCCTACTCCTCTACTCATAACACTGCTGTCTCCTTTCTGCTATCTATATTTGCTCATTTTATCTATGCTTTATAACTTTTTCTGACCACAATGGCAACCATGTTTAGGAAGAGGTGGAAGATGTGATATTTGGTCAAAATGACAGAATTCCACTGGAACTAAAATTAAGCAAGGGATTAGGCATGCAATGTTCTTAATTTAATCCAAAGCTAGAGCAAACCTCAGGCAGGTAAGTTAGAACAATTGAATGGTGATAGTGTTCTTTGGCAACACCTGTTTTTCCTGCATGCCTGGAAGGCAAGTTATTCACTATGCTACAATGTGATGCTCTACTGTGGGCCACAAGAGTTGAGTTCAGGGAGGAGAGCTGTTGTGATGGAAGATGATGACCACGAGAAACAGCTTTTTGCCCTGCAGACAGCCGCAGAAATGTTAAGTACAAGCAGGTATGGTATGCTGACATCAAGGCCTCCATGTAGTTCTCCATTTCTCTTTCAGGGTTTCTGACTTTTTTCCCCAAACCAATGAGATTAACAGTGAAACTGAGAACACTGTCTAAATTTTTGAATTCACTGGCTCTGACATATTTCATTACCTTCAGCGACAGCGCTGGAACAAGGATGCTTGGGAAGTAGACATCTCAAAATAAGAAAGCTGGGGGGTAGAGGAGGGAGAGAAAAGAGACAGAGAGGAATGAATATAAAGGTGGGGGAAGGCTGGTGGGAACAAGAGCATGGGGAATTCAGAGATGAAGAGTAGAAGACTATTAGGCATGTAAGGACAGAGGCTGGGAAGAGAGGAGAAAAGTAGATGGAGTGTAGGATTGAAAATAGTCTAAGTTTGGAAATGGAATGTAGGTTTGCCCAGAGGTCCCTTCCAACCTGTGATTCTGTGAAATGGGGACCTGCAGACCAGAGAAAAAGAAGAGGAACTGCTGAGCACGGGAGGGGAAAGAGGACTGTTTACAACAAACCCTGAGTCTGTTTGATCACTGTCTTAAAAGAGAAAAGCCTTTGCGGATGTTGGAGGGAAATGATTGCCAGCTAGGCTTAAAGAGGGATGAGGAGGAGAAAGCAAAGAGTATAATTAATATCTTGTTGAATTAGTGAGAAGCAATTTTCTGAGGATTCAAATGAAAGTGGAAGCTTGACTCTGAACTTCAGAAGAAAATCTGCCTAAAGTGACAACACAATCTCGCTTTTTTAGTGCGGCTATCAGCAGCAAGCAACATCACAGTAACACTGATGCTTCTGTCGAGAAACAGCCAAGTGGGAAAATAAAGAAGCAAGAAGATTCTCTAAAGCTGGCATCTCATTTTGACATCAACTCAACTCTCTCTTGCTGGAAACAAAGCTCCAGTTAATCCAATTGCCTTCACCTGTAATATTCTCCTCAACGATATGCCCTAATTAGATCCTTCCCTCTCACTGCAGATCCTTTTCCCAGGGCCACAGGCATCTCTCTTAGCTGAATGCCATCCCGAGTGTCACTTCTCAGCTGGAAAAAGTCAGGAAAACAGGCTGGGATAGAAAAGGTAAATCTATCTGGAACACATCATGATTTCATCTGTGACAAGCTTCCGTAATGCCTGGACTAGCACCTCCTCTGCAACTTGATTCATAACTCCTTACAGATTTTTACTTCACTAAGGAGTAAATCTAACCCTGATAAAGCATTTCCTTTCTAAGGACCATGGAAAACTAAACAATGCAGTTGGGGAAACACCTGCAAATAAGACACACAGGGGAATAATTCATCTTGCATTCTTCGTTAGCAGAAACAAATCATTTGAAGTACAAACACTTACCCACTCCATCCTATGTGTGCACAATTAACACTATCTACACAACAGTCATTCCTCAACAATGGAAAATAATCAGTCCTGCTCTTTCTCTCATAACACCCAGTAGAGGTGCAACGCAAAGTCAGTGTGCTCTCCTTCCCCTTCTTCCCTCCATATATACATACACACTGCAACAACAGAATTCCTTGGAAGGGAAAGTATGCCGCTAACTAGGGGAAGAAGACAGTGAATTTAGTTCTTTTCCCAAAGAGACCTTTCATTTACCGAAACAGACTATAGAAAGCTAAGCACACTCATCAATAGGTTGGGCGAAAAGAAATAACATCTTATATCCATTCACTAAAATAATAATTTTAAAAAGTCCAGATGCTTATTTAGGGAAAAAGCAAAGAACTAAATAGCACAATATTTTGCATCACCTTTAACAGACAGAGGTGTTTTAGCAAAACCCTGTTTACTATGAGACAGCCAGGAAGTCCTGAATTACTTCCCTGCAGAGAGCAGTTTCATCGAGAAAGATGATTTACCAGAGAAATAAAATTACTGCAACGATCCCTAAACCAGGCTGCAGACTAGGCTGCTTACCTGTTTGAGTGCCTTCTTGCTGTGCTTCTGCGATGAGGAGATGACTTTGCCTGTCTGGATGGAAGGTGACGGGCAGCCTGACTGAGGGGAGGATGTCTGTGACAGTCTAGATGACACTACAAGAAAAAAAACCAAACAACATAATCCGACCTTTATACATTTGCCTGCAGCATGTTAGCCAGTCCTCACCATTGCAGATCATCTCATGAGGCTCATGAAAACTGCACCTCTAGTGAATGTTACTTTTTGCTTGAAGAATCATTTCTATTTCCTCCCCACCACCAAGGCAGTTGTTTTTGTCTGAAAGCCAACAGCAATTCCTGTGACCAACTTCAGATTTTTCATCTCTTGTCCATGTCTTTTTTTATTAATCTTGTAAATAGCTGCTATCAAACAACACTACAGCTTGAGAAAAAGCTTCGGATTCATGCAGGTTTAGCTAATTCAAATCTAACTGGAAATACAGACACAGGCAATGGTTGTCTTCATCTGGAATGTCCTGTGGTCAGACACTTAATTGATAGCAGTCTCTGCTCAGATTAAATCTGAATCCCCCACAAGAGCAGGAAGACAAATGACATGCAAAGGAAGTGGAACATCACTTGCTCCTTTCTAAAAAGAAATATGGGAATATACAGGATATCCCAGTAAATGAACGCATATTCTCAGTGGATGAGCCTAGATGCTTAAAGAAATCTAGTCCTAGCCACACGGAGTCCTAAAGGCTTCTAGTTTCAGGTGGTTTAGACTTTTAAATGGTCATGTTACAACCAACAAACAAGGGATGGGAATTAAATAACAGCTGGTCATGTAGCTTGAATATACCTGTTTGCCATAGGATACTCAAAATACTCTGCTCTGGCAGCAGTGGGGTGATGGACATGTGGCCAGCCAGGGAAACCACTCAGTCTCTCATAATCACGGTTTTGCCTCTCTTTTCTTGGCAAATATATACCGAACTGGCCAGCAGCCAAGGTTAACCCATCACATTACCTGGCTTTTTACATAGGTACATCAGCACACTAGAGCTAGTCAAAGCTGTTTAGCTGCTGAGGCTGAAACAGTACAACAAAAAAAGACAAAAGTAAAATGATGTTAATTGGAATGCCTTACATCGCACAATAACCGTAACAAAACAAACACTATGTACGCATAGCCAAGAACATCAATGAGATATGGCTGCACCTGCAATGAACTCTAAAGGTAGATCTGTGAGACTGGGTATGGAGGCAGACAGTTAAAAAGAAAACAACAGAAGTTAGCAAATTCATGATCTGTATATATATATCTGCATGTGAATTTGTATAGATAATAATGCCCACTGTAAGATCAAGGAAACAAAATGAAGAGCAAAAGAATGTTTGATTGCAGGGGCGGGTGGAGGGTGACCCCTACCATAAGGGATAATAAACAGATTCACATGTAAACTATTTAAATTATTGCTTCCTGAAGCAATTAGTTCTACAATACACAAGGCTAAGCTAAACTCCTTTCTGTTGCAGAAGGACGCGAGAGATAATGGCACCAGCTCTTCATTAACGATAGCCACAGTGTGATCCTGCTCCGTATCCACAGAGAAGGGAAGCTCCCCAAAATAATGCAGTGACAGTAAGCATCAGAAAGAAACATTTCGATAAAGTGCATAGAATTAGTAACAACAAATTATAAAAAGTAAAATTCTCACATGTGGCATGGACATTAAATGAAATGAGCAACTTTTTTAGAAGGCATACACAACAGAGATGAGGTAATATCAGACTCTGAAATGTCATTAAAACCAATAACAATAAAACGGTATGGTAAGAAACTGGTCATTTAAAAGTCACTGACAAGATTACCATATCCAGATGATACATGCACACGATAAAAGATGACACAGTTGCACAGCAAGCAGAATTACCACTTAAAAGGCAAAAGAAACCCCTGATGTTACACCAAGACCTGGAAAGCAAAGGTTATATCTGTAGTTTGAAATAGCAGTAAGAATGTTTTTAAACTTGCATTTGTCTCAGTTTAGTTGAAATTGGAGTTCAAGAAGAATAAGATGATGCTGGAAAAGATCAGAGTCTGCTCAGCACCTGGAGAGGAAAAGAAGATCTCAAACTCATTGGCATTCTCTGAGTGCCTTGATAAAGAGAACTGAAGAAAAGAAAGTCTGTTGCTAAGAGTTTACTCACACTTCCAGAGATTTTCAACAAAAGGCTTCTAAAAATTATTTGGCTATTGTTTAAAAAACAAAGAATTGGCATAACTCTGTGGCTGGATGGGACAGAAGGCAAAGAACAGAATCAAATGGTAATCAAGCAAGAAATCGGCAAAAATTCTGCAAGGTCACGTACTAAGCAGGGAGCAGTTTAGAGCTTAGTGATAGACCAGAAGGCAGGAAACAGTAAAATATTAAATACTTAGTTTAGTTAAGGTCAGAGAGAATTGTGTGGAAACACAGAGAAATATAACCCAGAGAACAAAAGACCAAAAATACAGAGTAAAGCATAAAAAAAGTAGTAAGTAAATTTTTGGAGGAAAGAACCCAAGATACTCATAGAACCTGTGGTAAACTAAATGAACTGTGTCATCTCAGGACAGAGATCCATGACGGCTGGCAGGTGAATGAAAATGGCCAGCAAGATGATGCTATGTGCAAGGATGGAAAGATGGCAATATATAAAATTCTTATGGCATATTCACATCCACTGTCTTGCATACTGCAGTGCCGATCACACAACATCAATAGAATTTGATGGGATTCAGGAAAGTAAAGAAAACGGTGAAGGACATGGAAAAAAAAAAAACCAGGGATAGTGAGCTATTTTGTATTATCCTCAAAGGAAGGACTATGAGTGAAGCATACAAAATTAAATGATGTAGCTTCATGTCTGAGCATCCCGTTTCTGCTGAAAAAGCACCATGCTTGCAGCTGCTGGGCCACTGTCATCACCCAGAGAGCAGCAGAGCCATCGGCCTCACTCTTACACCAGCCAGGTAAGTTCCCAGTCCACCACTGCTGCAAACACAACCTTCGGCTGGGCAAACACTGTGCCCCCATCCTTCTAAAACTAATCCTTGCTCGTAGCTATTAAACACAAAGAAAACACAAGTTTGGTTTAACATTTCAAACCCAGGCACAGAAGCAGATTGACTGTTACTGGGTTTGAGACATTTGAATAGCAGGAACATAAACCACATCCTCTTTGAAGCCTATCACTGCTGAAACTACTAGTTCTGTGTGAAATAGAAACATTAAGCCAAATACAGGCTACTCTTCTCCAGCCTCATATTCTCGTCACATTTTCATTTTTATGCTGTCTTTGAATAAAGAAAACTAATATTTTAAAACCAGGAATGGCAGCACAGGCTCAGCCCCACACCTGGGAAGACAACTCATCCCTGGAGCTGATACAATAAAGCCGCATTATATTTTGCGCATTCTCTGACTGCGTAAAAGCCCTCAGTGCCACAACGGCTGCTGTGTTGGACTGACAGCTGTAACCACAACAGATTCACAAGAACAAACAGGAGAACTTGAGAAAGCCAACCAAGTCACAGCAGCTTGAGCTTAGCTGTGGGCCCCCAAACCGAAGGGGGGGGTGGATGGGAGCATAAACCTGTGAGAAGACACCCCTGGGTCTTTGGACCCAAAAGCTCTCGAAAGGTTACATCCTTTTAAGAACTTTGCACGCAGCCAAGCGGAGGTGTAACACAAAGACATGCACATGTAGAAAAATATTCAGACTCCCATAAGGATGTGGCTTGACAAGCTGAGTTTGTTTCCTTTACATTTAAACAGAATTTCAGTAAAGTTAGTTCTGTCTTCACTTCAGGCTTTCTTGTAATTTGAAAAATATGTGGAGCTGAGATTATACCTCTTCATGCCCTTAAATCTTAAGAGCACTTTTGGAGAGAAGCTGCAGCAGTAGGTACAGAAAGCAGTGCATCCAGTAAGACACTCCAATTTTAAAATACTTGATGAGTTGCTTTGCGCTGTTTTTATGTAAATAAGGATATCCTTGAGCAGCTAAAGATTAGGCAAGACTGTGGGCCAGTATCTGACAGAAACGAATTTCAGTAGATTTTCTGAATTAGAAACAGTAAACAGAATCCTCTCATTCCAAAGAGGCATACGAGAGATGGGATGGAGACGTCACCTTGATAATAAGCAGTAAGGACAGAAACATGACTAATGGGCATTGAGAAAAAAACTCAGGTATTTGAGAGTGCTGGCTTGGAGAAGCAATTAAACATATGTATCCATAGCCAGGATAGCTAACAAAACCCCATAACTCTGCACACTTGGCCTGAAGTCACTGCACTGGATGGTTCATTCACAAGGTTTCATTGCTTCCTGCTGGTGGTTTGGCTGGGAGAAGAGTTTGCCAGGTGAAATTTTAACAGTTCTCTAAGATTAAAGTAGATGAGATAAAGCAGAACATGTGTCAGCCAAACCTCACAAACCCCGATTTGTTAGATAAACTAAGAGTGGATCCAGTAGAGCCCCATGTCCCAGCTGCAAGAAGAAATACTGGAGGAAGACCCGTCTGCAGTCAATTACAGCTGTAATTTATGGGACAGAGACTCCTTTACACTTTAGACTTCTTACTTGAAATGTCACTGACACAAGAGCATTTCTTCTAAGAAATGAAATTATAATAGAACTTTAATTACGTTAAAGGACAGTTAAATTAGAAATTTCAGTCTGGCAAGATCTGATGACATTTTACAAGGTATTGGGTTCCCTTAAGATTTGCAAACTCTAAACCATTGGTCAATCAATTATCTTCTATACATTTATAAAGAAACTGTGCTAACAGCAGCAAAGAGAAGTAGTAAGATTTATTTAACAATCATTTATTGAAGAAGATGAGTGGTTAATTCTTTTAGAAAAACTGCAGTAAATTGCTGCAAATATTAAATGCAGGATGTAGTCTAGGGATCCCTTCTAACAGAAATAGTTAGGCTGTACAGTTTCATCAAGACGCTGCCCCGTGCCTTTCCTTCGAGGAGCCCCAATTCAGTTAATGCTAAGGACTTTCTGCTTGACCCTCTTGGGTAAAGCAATGCATTAATTAACCACAGCCTCAAACGAGGCAACTGAAGTACGATCTGATGACACGTCCATTTCAACAGTGTGCCACATCGTGCGTTTTCCCGGTGTTTTCAAAGGCAATAGTGGAAGGAACGCCCCATGTCTCCTGACACCCTGGTACTTAGATCCCACCATGCACTCTCTGCTGTCACCACCCAGTGCAAGACTGGCCTGCTGAAACTGGCTAAAGTCCATCCTACCACCAAAGGAGCACTAAGACTCATAATTCTCACCGGGTGTTAGGTACCAGCACAGTTCTGCACACTGCACAAGACAAAGTAACAGAAAGATGAAGATGCCCAAAATATTTTTACTTTTTTTTTTTCTTCAATGTCTCATCTTGCAAAGGTTATTTACCTTTTAAGGTGTCAAAGTAGCAGGATATTTGTTTGAAATCCCACTGGCTTCCAGTATACATCTGTTCACTTGTATAAGATGATATTTAATAATAATAATATTCTGGCTAATGTCTTTCACAAACAGTGTCAGATAAACCACAATGATAAAATACATGGACACAGCTGATCCTGCTTTGGGGCGGCAAGATTGACTGTATGACTGTAATGTCCCTCTAAGCTCAACATTTAGACAGAAGTGTAGAGATCTTTGCTTGCTCAGCCAATAATTTACTTTTTGATGCATTGCCTTATCCTCCCTTGTCACTGCATGGAGCATAGCTGGCTGCAGGACTGGGCAGGAAAACACCTGGAGCAGCACTGAGCCAGAGAGGAGGGAACAGAAAAGCCGAGGGAGATCTTGCAGCCAAACAATGGGGATGATGACAGAACTCATACTTTTTTGGCAGGCACTCAGGCAATTACTAAATCAAGATTAAGATTTTCTTAAGCTGATGTAGTAGAAATGACTGCTGGCTTTCTCAGGCTTGTTTCAGAAGAGATGCAGTGGACACTGCTGAAGAAAGCAAGCATAAAGTATGACCTTGCATTTATACAACAGTTTTATTTCAGTGGCTCCAAAAGAGGGTCACACAGCTTAAGGTCCACCTTCACAGTTCACTCTACCAAATACTGGCATATAGATATTTTGACTACCATGCTAACTGTTTAACAGCATGAAACAAGACTATTAAAAATGTGCTAGAAGTAAAGGAAAAATATATCTGCAATTGTTGAGAGAATTTTGGAGTCAAAATACTTTCAAATCAGACAAAGAAAGATGTAACAGTTTGCGAAACTAAAATTCATCTGACAAGAAGAGTCTTTTGCATGACCTATGGCTGAAGACAACCGAAACCAACCTACCCAAATATTACTAGCGTAAAAACACCGCACAGACCCTGTACTTTGACACTGCAGCAGGCTCAGTGATGTAAGCAAAGGGCACAGCCTTCTGAACTGCTCGCACAACGGTTCCTGGAACTGTGGGGTTTTACTGGATCTCTTATCCTTTATCTTTTAAAGATCAGAGCTAATTATAGTTTCAAATACACTATGCAATAAAAGAAACTCTCATCTTCGGGTAAGTGGAATCAAACTATTTTGGAACAATGAAATTGTTCTGCTAAATTTATACTCAGAGCATTAGATTAAAAAATCTACCAGGGATAAAAAGCCTTTTGCTAGATAACTGCTTCATGAGCATCACGTAACAAATTGCTGTGGCTGCATGTGCTGCAGAAATCAATGCCATCTTATGAATGGGTAATGCATCCTGATAATTCATTCCACCCATCAGGAGTCTGAAATCTGTAATCCCGCTGCCAGCGTAAATTTGATTTATTATTTGGCACAGAAGCAGCGCTCTTCTGTAGAGTCTTCAGGCATGAGATATTTACTCTTTGCCTTTAAAAGGACCAAAATGCAGCATGATCTAGACACAAGACGCATCCCATCGGCAGGCACTGCTGCCAGCCCTGTACCTGCTCTCGTCACTCTTGCAGCAGAGCTTGGTGCAAAGCCACGTGGGCACAGGGACTAGGTACTCACCTCTGCATCCCGGCTGGAGCTCAGAAGTAGGAGCTCTACTGGGGTTTTGTCTCTGATTTTGTTTGGGCTTGGGAGAGTATAATATGAAAAGAAATTAAAATAGTAGGTCCAGAGTTCCTGCTCAAGGGGTTGCATGCATTTCCATGGGGTTTTCTGCCTCAAAATCTACACATTCAGAAAGAAAAGGCTGCACTTTACTCATCTGGAAAGAAAGTACAGTCAAGCTGAACTAAAAATACAATAACCCCCCCTTTCAACTATGTGCAGTCATAAGCTTAAAATAACCCAATTTTAAACAGCTAATGGGATCCAGATGTATTACATGAAAAAAATTCTAGTGAAAGCAATTAAAACATGTTTTGAGAGGCACAGAAATGTCTCCAGTTAATCCAATGCCCTTCTTTTCTACAGGTATGCAGTTTACCAGAATGGGAATGCAACCTTGAATTCATATCAAAACAGTATCATACTTACAAGTGAGACAACCATTTTAAGAGTTCTCCTCCACATGACTGTTCCTTGCTAAAATGAAGGAAGAAATAATGCCCAAAAATACTGTCCAATTGCAACTTCCTAGAACTCCCCCTCTGCACTTACCCTGGGTAAAGTTGAAATTTATACTGCTCTGATGAGGATTATGCATTCCTGTTATCAGATTACATTTTTATAAACATAACAAAGATCAACTCTTTGCTTCATATGGAGAGACTGGAGTGTATCTTGCACTGGTAGCTCTGACAAAACAAGCTGATGTACCCAACAAGTCTGTGTCTGATCGCTCATACGTCTCCATGCTCGGTGATCTCACCTAAGCTCTCTACCCTCTTTCTCTCCCAATCTAAGGCCTTCTTAGAGTAAATTTATTCATACCTGCTTCCTTGGTTACACTGGGGAATTCCTCCACTCTAGGAAAGAACATCAGCTAAATATGGACAAACGCCTTACGAAAGAGGGGTAAAAAGGAAAGATACAGCTCTACAGCTCTGCTCTAGTGAAGAATTAAAGTTGGCACCAAGCAGCTCTCACTAAGTAGCTTAACACCATGTATAGTATTGGATCACTTAGAGAAAGGTCTGACGACCTGAGATGCCAACAGCAGCCAAAGACTCTACATCATATACTTGAGACACTGCCACCAAAACCTACTCTGTGTGTCCATGAATGATGGCTCTTCATCAGAGGGACAGGTCAATGCGGAGCTCTTTGGAATGCAGGACCAAGCACATTGCCCTTCAGACTGGCTGCGGTACTCTCCAGCCCAGGCACAGAACATCCATCAGCATTATAAACATTTCAGACAACAACTCTGTCACACAGCTTTATCAGCTATGGAGATCTCCCAGTTAACAAACCCCAGGCTTACCTAAATGACACAAAAGTAGTTCTGGTTTCAGCCCAACCATGGGGAGGGCACATGACTGCATTTATTATTTGCAGCATGGAGCACATCTAGAACAGCAGCCACAAACTGGAAGACCCTGCTACAGACAGTATGTGTACAAAAGGAATGAGTAGTCCCCAACACAGCAGGCTCAGAATCTATGTATAAAACAAATGAAACTAAAAGAAATAGTAAAAAGAAATGCTCGGTGATTTGTACCCCTGTCAATTCCTAAGCTTAAGCATTTTCACATTTTCTGGAGGACATATGGCGATGACAAAGGCACAGCACCCTGGGTGTTCAAGAAGTCAAATCATGATCATCAAAATGTTCTGAATTTAGAGATATTTTACTGATACAAACAACATTTTTTCAGCTGTTGTACTGGAAGGAAGAAGAGAAAGAAAGTATTTTACATAAACACAGCTATAAGTGCTAATTACTTTAGCTGACATCAAATTAGCCAACATCGATGAGTTGTTCTGTTTGTTTTTTGGGGGTTTTTTGTTAAAAAAACAGATAGCAGATGTGTGCCTTTAGGAAAAAGTCAAGACTGTAAGGGCGAGTGATAAATCTGGGTTATTCGCAATACACACTATGGTAGCCCAGGTCGCTGACAGAAGCAATCATTCATTTCCCCTGTTGATAAACACCCAATGCTCACTGAAAGTCATTTGACAACCAACCTTGACAGCTGCCCCCATTTGGTCTCAGTACATTACTGCAAAGATTTCAGTGTTTGTTACTTTACCCAAAATACAAGTTTCCATGTTGAGAACACTTCCCTCTTCCCTAAAAAAAATACCTTTAGAGCTCAAAGAACTCAGTAGTTCACCTAAACTTCTCTCCTCTTGGACACTGAGAAGCAGAAGCGAAATTATTCAGGTCAAGGCCAGTTGGCTAAAACCATGAACTGAATCTTGCAGTCCATCCTGTCAACACTTACTGCCACAGAAAATTCAGGTGCTCATGTTTCTGGTGACAGCACACATGTACTTCAGGCCTGTCCCTGCAGGTCCCCACAAAGGCAGTGGAGAAAACCCGTCCCAAATTCATAAATAATACCTGTACCACTTCATGATAAGACAGAAAGATACAAACACAGGCTGTGCATAACAGCACTGATGAAGAAAAGAGTTACCCTGGCATGGTGGAAGAGCTGTTTTCTTCACAGCCACTTATCTGATGATCAAAGGCAGCCAAGTGACTCCTGCCGTGAGATTGGTACAAAGAGGGATCACAGAGAGACATCTGCACTCCATGAGTGCACTTGACACTGATGGCCAATGATGGCCTTGAAATGGAGAGTGAGGAGGATGTGTCGACCCACAAGGAAAAGACCTTGTTATGTGGATGGTTTTCTATGATGATATAAAAGTGGGGAGAACATCTCCATTAAAGCGAGGGAAGACAAGAAAATCTTTCTCTGAGCATACCAGTGTAAGAATTATTTTGAAAAGGGCCAACATTTTATGCTTTCTTGGAAGAAAAGCTTCTAGCACTAACGTTCATCTACTAAAGCAGCCAGTTTTGACGTGACCAATACCCAAATGACAGTGTTCACTTTCCTGGTATCCTTTCGTTGCTCAGTTTGAACATGGCAACTGCTGCGAGGAGCCTCTAAAATGACCCTTATCAGTCCTTGCAGGTATTCTCTTTCTCTGGATCTCAGCTGATGTGCAATAGCCAGCAAATACCTGCCATTTCAATAGGTCATTCCTTGACTTCTGAGTCCTTTAGGAGGAAAATTTACAGCCTACAGAACAGACATTGAGTTGAGTAACTGCAGGTCAGGCAGGACATGGACTTTGCTGTGCCAGCACCTCCTGCTGTCACGTAGGAACACATATAAAGGCAGAAGCAGCAGCGCACCTCTTCTCCCTCACTTTTCAGGCATTTAGTTAAAAAAGGAGCATGAAAGGTATTTCTGCATTCACATGTGTGAAGAAGGAGAGAGATTAATTGTGCAACAGTACGCCCACTCGGTGAGTTTGCTCTGGCTGTCACGGCCTGCGAAAGGAAATGCAGGCAGGTCATGGCCACCTCCGGCACACGAAGCATTTGGCAGCTCTACAGACACAGTCACTCAAAACCCGGCATCCTGTGCACACGAGATACAGGCTTCAGTAAGATTTCTTCCAATATGCACTCAAGAGCAAGGATGTGAATTTAAGCACAGCATCAATAAGGCACCGTGGAAGCAGAAACAGAGGCAGCTCTACTGAGAAGCAAGAAGCAGCACAAATGCAGAGCTTTCTTTCAAAAATGTTCACCTTGCAACACAGTTCAACGGTTCAGCTCAGCAACGCCAAATTAACACCAAGAGAAACCAGAGAAACCCACTTGCTCATATGAAATTGTACCAGTGCATTTGCCTGTGTTAGTCACTGCATTCCTAGGAATGCATGGTTTTAAAAAAATATATAACAGAAATTGCAGCGCACACATACAGAAGGCACCAATGGCACTTGCTGTTGAGTACGTTTTCAAGCAGTGCCACCTCCCTGAAGAGCCTGTCAGAACCCAAAGCTTTACCTCACGGTGTCAAGTGTGAGATGCCCACAAAGCTCAAAGGAACATCTGTTGACTGTTGTGACTGGCATCATTGTATTTTTAGTAATTTATTTTTAAGAGAACCCAATCACTATATAACTCATTCTGTAAGGGAGCATTTGCTCTGAAGAAGTAACACACCTGCAACTGAAATACACCCCATACAACTTTGTTCCTTGCAAAGCAACCCCCTTCGGGCAGCATATGGTTGTGAAAAAAAAACCCCCTAAGTTACAGCAAAGATTCTTCTTATGCCTCTTTACAGAATCCTTCAGTAAAATACCTTCTTTTTTGAGTATTACTTGTGACTGCTTACTAATACCACAGCATGCTGAAGACGTGTGTTCCTGAGCCAGAACAATGTATCTGGAGCACAGCAAGTTTGTTAAGGTACATGAGCAAATGAACTCATCTAATGGTTTGTGGTGATCAAAAGGAGGTCTTACACCTCCCACCCCAGATGAGCAGCCCCATCCCTTCCCTCAGACTGTCCCGGCATGCATTAAGTTCCTCCATGAGCTGATTCAAATTGCTCATCAGGCACAAGGCTGCCAGTCTTTTTATCGCTAGGTTTGCTTTCGTAGGGCTACCGAGGCATGCTGGCTCGCAGCAGGGTCACCACGGCTGCCCAAGTCTACCCAGGGTGAGTAAAGAGAGGGCACGGACCAGAGTCCTGGGCAGAGAGAGTCCTCTGAGCAGCTCAGCTGACCCTCAGCATCTCTTTACAGCAGATACTTAGAGGCCAATGTAAGGGGGACCGTATGCTTTGGATGCTTTCTTTTGGGGTAACAGAACATGTTTCTAGGTTGCTGACTCAATCACAGAGCAGATCAGAGGTGGCCAAACATGAATTGTGTAGGAAGCTAATGTAGGCATTCAAAGAGGGGAAGATGTGGTCACATTTCTTTGAATTCCCTGCTAGGCTCCTGCATCACGTATCACCTTGGAGTGACTGCATCTAGGGCAGCACAGCTGCTCTTCTCCTTGAGTCTGAAGAGCTACCTACAACTCACTCATTGGCTCTCAGGTCTCTTTGATCATTGTTATTGCACCTTGTCTCTGCTCATATACATTTTAATAAAAGAAAATAAGCCATTTAAAAATCTCGTATCCAGATTACAGAGGATCTCCAACCCAGCTACGCAGCAGCACAACCTGGAACCTGCAAAGGTTTGCACATCACTCTCCCAGCTATCACCTCACCTGTGCCTGCGAGGTGTCTCACCAACTAATCCACTTAACGAGGGTTTGTTGCCAAGACACACATGCCTGAAAACAAGCCTCCAAGGACAGCACAAGTGCCTACAAGAGGATTATTTGATTACTGTGTGTGTCATGAGCACATGAGAGTGATAAGCAGTTATGCCTGGACTTTAGCAGCAGTGATGCCAATGCATTTATTGCTGAGACAGCACTAGCACAAGTGTTTAATTTTTTGGAGAAGAACCATGAATTACCCACTACACTGAAGCTTCCTGATTTTTACCCCACGAAGTAGCATTTTTCTTCATTGGTAAAACCACACAGTTAACCTGGAAACAGTTGATTTAGACAATTTAGGAATTCTCCAAATAACACTTAAGCAGAGAAACTGATGAAGATAATACGATGGCAATGATCACATTTAACACCAGCTCTGGGGTACCTAGCTGAAAAAAAGGCCTCTCGTTTAGAGTCCTAAAGTAGGGGTCAAAGCATAGCCAGTATAGATGAACTTAAACAGTTTCCCTGTATTCCCTTCTCTGCTTTTACCTACTATCACTTAAGTGATGTGACTGCAAACTCCCTGGGGCAGGAATCCTGTGTACAGCACCCAGCACAACGGCCTCTGATCCAGGAGCCATGCTAAAACACGGTTG